GGAGGGGAGCTGTTGCATTGTGGTAAATTGTGGTCAATGTCATGAGACAAAGTGTATGTGAACTGCTGTATGGAAAGTGAATTTGCTCTGTAAACTTTCAGCCAAATCACAATAAAAAAATTATTAAAAAAAAAAGAAATTAGATCAATCTACTAATTTATCAAAAGCAAGAGGGGATGTGATATTAACTAATTGGAACTTTTTATCCACTTGAAGCACTAAGGAAGAAAGATGCAGAATCAAGAAAAAAAACATATGAGCATGTTTCTGTTCAGCATGCTAATAACAGGGGCACAGAAGGGATCTAAGAACCCTTCAAGTCTGTCCTTCAGTTTGTTGTCTGTTTGAACTGGTAAACAGAGAACTGATTTTCCTAAAACAACAAGTGAATAACCAAGTAACACAAGTCACACCACAATAACCACCCTTTCCTATCATCTCTCTGAACCTACTACCTCACATGCATTACTCACCTGGTCCTTTGGCTTTTGGTCTTTCCTTAGAGCTGGCAGAGGCTTCACTGGATCATTCCCTGCTTTGGTGGCATCATCTGAGGACCACGTGGGAATCAGATTTTCCAGCTGACCACTGGACTTAGTGTTATCCTGCAATCTCTCTTTCTTCACTTTAGAAATACTGCATTTACCTTCTAATTCATTAATGGGATCTAAGTGTTGTGGTTGAGCCTCCTGAACTAAGCTCACTGAGTCCCTCATTTCTTCAGGTAAGATGTTGATATTTACTCTGCTGATTGTGGCTAGTGACTCTGCAGTATTGCTCATGTCTGGTTTGCAAGGGTGGCCTTTTGGACTGGCAGGCATCCTTAATGGGCCAATGATGACAGGCTTCTCCTGGGACGAACACTTATCTTCTCCCTGAGTGAAAACATACTTCCAAGTTACTATAGCACTCCTAACACCAAAGACAAAAATTAAAAAGGATCAATGGCCTAAATCTAAGAGCTAAAATGATAAAACTCTTAGAAGAAAACATAGGTGTAAATATTCATGACCTTGGATTTGGTAATAGATTCTTAGGAATGACACCAAAAGCACAAGCAAAAAAAAAAAAAAAAAGAAAACTAGATAAAACACACTTCACCAAAATTAAAAATTTATTGCCTTAAAATAACCTTTAAATCTTAAACCAAAAAAAAACTCCTGAAGTCTTCTTTAAACCAAACAAGTTTAATTAGTAAAGAATGTCTGCCTTAGGCATTGTGCTCTTAAGAACTGTATTTATAGGATCAAAATGACAACAGCAACTCGAAAAATTAGATAGGAAACTTAGGAGGCAGGGAGTTTATGTTAATAGAGGGTGAACAACTCAGAAAAGGAGGGTAGAATGGCTGCACAACTCAAGAATGCAATCGGTGTTACTGAATTGTACGTGCAGAAATTGCTGAACTGGTGTATGTTCTGCTGTGTATAGTCTCAACAACAAAAAATAAATTATTTTAAAAAACAACTTTTGTGCTTCAAAGAACACTGTCAAGAGAGTAAAACAATAGTCCACAAAATGGGAGAAACTATTTGCAAGTCATATATCTGATATGATATTAATATACAGAATATATAAGTAACTCCTATAACACAACAATAAAAGACAAACAACTCAAATTGAAAATGGGTAAAGGACTTGAACAGACATTTCTGCAAAGATATACAAATGGCCAATAAGTACATGAAAAAACTTTCAACATCATTAGTCATTCGGGATGTAAAACAAAACCACAATGAGATAGCACTTCACACCCACTGGGCTATGATCAAAATGATGGACAAAGACAAGTGCTGACAAGAATACAGAGAAAATGGAACCCTCATGTATTGCTGGTAGGAATGTAAAACGGTTTAGTCATTGTAGGAAAGTTTGGTAGTTTCTCAAAAATGTTAAACAGAATTACCATATAATTCAGCAATTTCTCCCCTAGGAGTATATCCAAAGGAACTGAAAACAGGCACTTGTACCCAAATATTCATAGAAGCACTATTCAATGGCCCATAGCCAGAAGGTAGGAATAACTCAAATGTCCAGTAAAGAATAAATGGATAAACAAAACTATGGTATATACATACCTGTAAAAAGGAATGAAGTACTAATAAATGCTACAAAATGGATGAACCACAAAAAACATTATGCTATAAGTCAGACATGAAAGAACAAATATTATATGACTCCACTTCCATGAAATAGTCAGAATAGGTAAACCCACAGAGATAGAAAGCAGATGGGTGGTTGCCAAGGGTTGGGAGGGGGGCAGAGGAAATGGGAAGTAACCGCTAAACAGATAGGGTTTTATTTGGGGCTGTTAAAAATGTTTTGGAAATATATTGAGGTAGTTATTGCACAACTTGTGAATGCACTAAATGTCAGTTAATTGTTCACTTTAAAATAATTTACTTTTTCTACATGAATCGCACCTCAATTTGAAAAAAAATTCTTCAAATAAAAAAGTTATTATGACATTGATTGCATGAGTAGTTTGATAGCTCACTTTGGATATAGTGGGCTAAATAAAATCTCCTTCACCAGGATTCTTTCTTTCTGATACAATTAACTACACAACAGAATCTTTAATAAAGCATAAGCATTTTACATAAAATAATTTTCTTAGGTAATCTATCATTTTAATATAGTTTCTAAGCGATGTACGCTTTACAAAGAAACATACCATTACATATGTCTTGGAGCCCTCAGAGGAGTGTGGTGGGGGTGAGATTACTTCATTACTGGATTCAGCCTTTCCAGAAACCACTGCAGCAACAGGCTTGGATTTAGAGTCACCATTTTTAACATTATTTTTGGAGGTTTTTCTTCATGAGAAGAAAAGTTATTATCAATATAGTGAAGATCAAAGGCTTTTAAGTAATGCGCAATGTATCTTTATTATGCTCTCTTATAGAACTGCTCCATTCATAGAAAATCATCTTCCAGAAATCTAGAGAACATTCTATAAATACTTGGCTAGAACTACTGAAAAAATGTCAAGGCTGTGAAAAAAAAGGGAAGTCTGAGGAATTGTCACAGACCCAAAAACACTAAGGAGATATGATGACTAAATGTCACATGGTACCCGAGACTTGATGCTGGTCCTGAAAAGGACATTCATGAAAAAACTAGTGACAGCCAAACTAAGTACATAACATACTGATAATGGTTTCTTTGTTTTTACAAAGGTACTGAGGTAAAATAAGATGTTAATGATAAGAGAAACTGGCCAAGGGATGTGTAGAACTCTCTGTACTACCTTTATAACTTTTCTATAAATATAAAATTATTCCAAAATTAAAGTTTTATTTTAAGAAGTCTATGGGATATTGCCTCATATAACAGAAGTATCAGGATAAGTTTCATCTGCAAGTGTCTCTTTTGTAACAATACCACAACTGCTTTGCCGTGTTTGATTAAAAATATTGGCATACTCATTCTTGACTTGCAGAATAAACATATAAATGAATAATCTCACCAACTGTTTTACTCTGTAATTTCTAAAACTGGGCTAAACCTCTGGAGAATTCAAGGGAAACCGGAGTCCAATGCTGTAGAATGTCAAAGGTCTGTTTGGTGGGAAGTTATAGATAATGTGAACAAAAGTGGTCCTTCTTTACCTCCTGGTGCCTCTCTAGCATTGATTCCTCTTCTCCCAAATCTAATACACCACATGGCAGGAGGAGAAGTCAAAGAGATTTCAAAGGTCTCATCCAAATCTTAAATCCTATCACTTATGATGAAAGGAAGGAACACTGGTGGCATAGTGGTTAAGTGCTTGGCTGCTAACTGAAAAGTCAGCAGTTCAAACCCACCAGCCACTCCAGGGGACAGAAAATGTGGCAACTTGCTTCTGTAAAGAGTAAGACTTGGAAACCCTATGGGGTAGTTCTATTCTGTCCTATAGGGTGGCTATGAGTAGGAGTCAACTTCATAGCAATAGATATGATACAGAAACAGCTGTTTGGTAAAGACAGAACCTGCAAATTAAAGAAAGGAATTCTTTTCCTTTTGAGAAGTTATATGAACTTCAAGGTAACCTAATGGAAGCTCTTAGAAATTTGTGCACTAATTTTTCGATGTAACTATTAGCCTACACAGTAAATAATGTAATAGGTTTCTTAGATAATCTCTCATTTTAAAATGGTTTCTAGAACTGACCCTTTTAAAAGAAACATACTCGATGTCTTGGAACCCTCTGAGGAATGTTAGAGAGTTCTCTAGATTTCTGATTTTAGAAAGTAAGAAGTGAAATGTCAACACGTAAAACCTAGTCATGCAACGTTATCTTTCAGTTCATGTCTAAAAAAAAAAAAGCTCACCATAAATTCTTGCAAATGAAAATTTTTGAAGTTACCCTAGGGAGTATACATAGTTTACACCAGACTGCTAACCTAAAGGCTGGTGGCTCAAGCTCACACAGAGGTACCACAGAAGATAGGCCTGGTGATCTGCTTCCATTAAGATTACAGCCAAGAAAACTCTATGGAACAGTTCTACTCTGTAACACATGGGGTCACCGTAAGTTGCTATCAAATCCATGGCAACTAATAACCTTCTTTTACTCCACCTATTTAGCCCAACTATTTGCAAAGGAAGTATCTTACGCCTTTGTGGCTTCCAAAAACATGGAGATTTGGCGCTTTATGTAAGGCTGCCTCAAGATGCTCCTCACAGATGGTCTTTCTTCAGGCCTTTTGCTCAGCATTGTTCTTATCAGTTCTGCTAACTCTGGGCTGTAATCTTTTGGCATTTGTGGCAGCTGCAAAGAGAATATCACAATTACGAATTAATGGTCTTGTGTAGCAGAGTTAGAGAAGGCAGAGGTTTCTCAGTATTTACGTAAAATCCTGTATCCACATAAATAGAAAATAACCAGCATATCAGTCTATAGGAAGCCTTCTGGTACCCTGATTAAAACAGCAAGTTGCAGGATTCTAGAGTCTATCTTTCAGCCCAGCAGCTCCATGTGAGGACTCTCTCCTTCAGAAATAAGAGCATTCATTTCTAAAGATTTATGAACCAGGATATTCACTGCAGTATGGTTCTTGCAGTCAAAATGGCTAGAAACAACTTCAATGTCCTCCATAGGGGACTTGTGGAATAAATTATGGAACATTTTATTAAAGAATACTAGGTGGCCACTTAAAAATTAAAAAAGATTTACAAGTATTGACCTGGAAGAAGATCCAGGTCACATATCAAGTCAAAAAAGCAAGTTGCAGACCAATGTGTACAACCTGATTCCATTTCAGGTTCTTATGTGCATATATGTACCCAGAGTTATATCTATGTAACAATGAAAAAAAGTCAGGAGGGCCGTGAAGTAAATTGCTAGCAGTGGTAATCTCTGGTGGATGAAAGTGGATAGGACAGAAGAATTTCACTCCTTTTTTGTTGGATTCTTCAAGTACAGTGATTATGAGCAATTTTTACTTTTTTTGTGCGTTTTCAGTATTTTCAAATTTAAAATTTTAATGGGTCTTGGTATAATACTAAAATCATTAGATGATTTAAGGCCTTAAAACTAATGGTGCTTAGATGCCTGGCACTGCAAAAGACAACTACCTTCGTAAGAACTAACATATACAGTTAGTCACTCTGGCATCCATACCACACACAACACTTCTGCGATTCTCAACTAGTTATCAGCAACTGGAACTAATTTAGACAGTTGTTGTTGTTGTTGTTGTGTGCCATCGAGTTGGACCTGACTCATAGCGACCCCTCCTTGGGTTTCTGAGGCAGTATCACTACGGAAGTAGATTGCCCAACCTTCCTTCTGAGGAGGAGCTGGTGGGTTTGAACCGCCAGCCTTCTGGTTAGCAGTCAAGTGCCTTAGGCACTATGCTACCAGAGCTTCTAATTTAGACAGAGTAGGCTCATTTAAAGGTGTTCATTTAATTATAAGCTGCTTAGGAGAAGATACCAAAAGCCTCTCAGGGTACCTACAAGGGATAAGGCAGTGGTTTTCAAAGGTCTAATCCTTTGAGTTATTAAGCCGCCTTTACAAATTAGTATTAAAATATTTCAATCCCCTTCCCCTCTCATTTAGCTGTCCCCACAGAATGATTCACCATTCTTAATTATCTACCTAATACCAAGTTTTACTCACTTTTGCCAGTAGCTACTTACAAAGCTGCATTAAGTAAACCTTCCTTCGAACATTAAAAACAATTAGTTCAAGAATGTCCTTTACCTTTCCTTCAATAATCCGATAAACTAAAGAATTCATGTCTTTTGCATTGAAAGCATGCTTTAGGGTAGCCATTTCATACACACAGCATCCCAGAGCCCAAACATCAGACTAGGAAAGAAAAAATAGTAAAGAGTTAAATGTAAGAATGTTTTACTCATTCATATCCCTCATCTCCACCCTGGGGTTCTAGAATTATGAATACTATCCTAGAGTCAAGATGAGTCAGCATACATGGCTCAGTCCTACCTTATAATTGTAGGGTTTGTTTGAGAACAATTCAGGACTCATGTAGTAAGGCGTGCCAATAAGTGTGCTAGCCATGTCACAGTGGTTCTCTAACACTCTGGCAATGCCTAGGTCACCCACTTTGATAATGTTCGTTCTTGTTAGGAAGACATTTTGCGTTTTCAGATCTCGGTGAAGGATGTGTTTCTCATGTAAATACTGAGAAGAGAAATAAAATTTCATTAAATATAAACATATTCCTGGCTCATTCGAACAGAACAAGGGAATACTGAATGGTTTAAAATCTGGAAGGGTGTGTGTCAGGATTTGCATCCTTTCAACATACTTACTCAATCTGTATGTTGAGTAAATAATCCAAGAGGCTGGACTATATGAAAAAGAACGTAGCATCAAGATTGAAGGAAGGTTCGTTAACAACCTCCGATATGCAGACTACACAACCCTGCTTGCTGAAAGGGAAGAGGACTTGAAGCACTTGCTGATGAAGATCAAAGACTACAGTCTGCAGTATGGCTTATAATAAAGAAAACAAAAATCCTTACAACTGGACCAGTAAGCAACATCATAATAAATGGAAAAAAGACTGAAGTTGTGAAGGGTTTCATTTTACTTGGCTCCACAATCAATGCCCATAGAAGCAGCAGTCAAGAAATCAAATGACCTATTACTTTGTGCAAATCTACTGCAAAAGACCTCTTTAAAGTATTAAAAGGCAAAGACGTCACTTTGAGGACTAAGGTGTGCCTAACCCAAGCTATGGTATTTTCGGTCACCTCATGTGCACACTAAATCTAGACAATGAATAAGGAAGATCAAAGAATTGATCCCTTTGAATTATGGTGCTGGCAAAGAATATCGAATACACTATAAACTGCCAAAAGAATGAACAAATCTGTCTTGGAAGAAATACAGCCCAAAAGCTCCTCAGAAGTGAGGATGGTGAGACTGTCTCACGTACTTTGGACATGTTATCAGGATGGATCAGTCCCCGGAGGAGGACATCGTACTTGGTAAAGGAGAGGATCAGCAAAAAAGAGGAAGCTCCTCAACAAGCTGGACTGACACGTGACCACACCAATGGGCTCAAACAGCAATTGTGAGGATGGCACAAGACCAGGCAGTGTTTTGTTCTGTTGCACATAGGGCTGCTGAGTTGGAACCAAACTGATGGCCCCTAACAACAACATATTCCTGGCTTCTTAGATACCAACTACAATTGCATGAGTTAAAAAAAAGCCTTGGTTACCTATATACCAAACACTCTTCTTTATAATCTCTACATAAAAGGTTTAATTTGGAACTTTCCAAGGTAGGAAAATTAAGTTTTATGCATTTATTTGCCCAGTACCCTACACAATTGTTCCCTGGTGCCTTGCCAATTAAATATGCTTACAAATTCCCACTGAAAGGAGAAGGATGTTTTACATGATGTCAGAGGCACACTCCTCTCAGACCCATCCAATCCTCAGCTTACTAATATTTTCAAATGTAATTAAGACCATTTCTACTTTGAGAGACTATCTTAGAATTTAAACAACAAAGTTAATTAATTCTCGGCAAGTCTGCTTAGTTCCAGAGTGGTATTTCAAAAAGTTTCACTTTTGAATACATGTATGTTATGACATAAACTTATTTTGCATTTATACCCACTCTGCTAATGCAGGTGAAAACCCAAATCCCTACAGTTTAGACATATTAATTAGCCCAGCCACCTTGCAGCATGACACGCTGACCAGCCATTAACAGCAATGGTTATCCTTTGCTCTTTGTCAACTATGCTATAAATCGACTTTGCTATAAATATTAAATGAATAGCGAATTGGTTTCCATCGCAATTAGATATGAAATCCAGGTTCAATATGCCCACAGCCACTGAATCGATTCCAACTCACAGTGACCCCTACTGGGTTTCCAAGGTGGTAAATCCTTACGGAAGTAGATTGCCTGTCTTCCTTCCCCGGGGGGGGGGGGGGGGCTAGTGAGTTTGTACCACCAACCTTCTGGTTAGCAGTCAAATGACTTAGACACCATGTCAGCAGAGCCCCTTAGATTCAATACAGGTTCAACATAGATAGCATTCATTCAGAAACTTTCCAACACTATAGAAAGAGGGATTGATTGCACTTCATAAATAGATTTACTAAAAAAACATATTTTTTCATGTAAGCATTCTGGGGGAAAAAAGGTCCTAAAATCCACCTGCCATCTCCCTGCCACCCTGGAGCAAGTGGGGTGCTATGAGTCTGGATAGTACCTGTAGAGCCATGGCGATCTGAACAAACCACTCCACCACCTGACTCTCAGGCAGAAGCTGGCCCTTCTGTTCCTTGAGCTTTCGGTACAGATCACCTCCTTCGCAGAAGCCCATGACAATGTAGAGCAGACCATCCCCTCCCTCCCATGACTCCTTGTAGGTGACAATGTTGGGGTGCTTCAGCTGAGACAAGAGCTGTGCTTCCTGCTCAGCAGCTCGCCGCTCTCGGATGGAAGCATTTCGGAGGTTCAGTTTTTTGATGACATACTACAAAGAAAACACATTTTTACAGAGGACAAATAAAGGTACAGTTTTGTAAGTTCACAAGTATTTGAGGGATCAAAACCAATCTTTTGGAATCTGGCAAATAACATACTCATTTTGTTACTCAAAAAGCACAAAATTGGGAAAAGTGTTTGCTATCACTAAAGATACTTTTTGCAGGTTAGACTTATATCAGGGTTAAGAGTCATAAACACTTATCCTTTCCATCTGCACTTTACAATTTCATTGTTGTTGTTGTTGTTATTTGCCGTCGAGTCAGCCCCGACTCATAGCGACCCCTCCTTGGGTTTCCAAGGCAGTATCACTACGGAAGTAGGATTGCCCAACCTTCCTTCCGAGGAGTGGCTGGTGGATTTGAACCACCAGCCTTCTGGTTAGCAGTCAAGTGCCTTAGCCACTATGCTACCAGAGCTCCCACAATTTCATTAGTGGCTAAAAAATGAGTCTGCGTTAATACACCACTGGGTCAATCATATAATCTGTGGTAGAGGGTTTAACCTCTGCGGTCCTCCTAAAAAGGAACATAAAAGATGGTTTAAATATACAACTGCCAACAGAATGGGTCCACAGTTTATATTAGATATCCAAAGAGATCTTTTAACCAAGTAAGATTAAAAACCACAGATTCTCAACATACAAAATTATCCCCACCTAAGAAAATTCAGTATGCCCTAACACCTAATACACTGCCCCCATTGGGTGACTGGCTGTTGTGTTCCAGGCAGAGCAACTGGTACCTGAGACAAGACAGAAGGGATGGGAAAACCTCATACTTATGGGGACACCTCCTCTCAGCTTGCCCAGAGCAGCCTGTTTTATGCCTGTTGTCCTGATACAATAATCATCAATAGTGGCTCCTTTCATTTTCAAAAGTATCCCAGTTTGTAAACTATATGGTCACTCTATTTATAAATCACATTAAAGAACTGGCTTATTATCCTGAGGGTAATGGCATAAAGTGTTTTAAGCAAAGGAGGAATGACACGATCAGATTTAAGTTTTAAAAAGATCACTGTGGCTGCAGTGAAGATGTTGGAATGGAAATAAGCAAGTCAGGAGGCAAAGAGACCAGTTGGAAGGTCATGGTCATGGCTTAACTTGAGATAATGGTGTAGTGGGTTGGGGTGGTACCAATGGAAATGGAGCGAAGGCTTGTTGGCTTAGCGACAAACATAATCAGTGTAGAGGAGGGTGTCGAGTATGACGCCTAGTTCTTTGGGCAACTGGCTTTTGGAGGTGCCACTCACTGAAATAGGGAACATGAGAGGAGGTCTGGCAGGAAGATGATGAATTGAGTTTTGAGTCCAGCAATCTGGAGGTCAGAGTTTGGAGCCCTTCATTCAAGGAGCAATGCTTGCTAGGCGCTGGATTACGTCCTGGAAATGCATAGTCCCTCAAGGAAGCATAACCCGTCCCCTTACTATCCCAACAACACCTCGCAGATGAAGCACACAAATCAATACAACAAAGGGGAAGTACAAGAAGTGTGGGTCGCATATCACAGGGGATCAGGGCCAGTCTAGTGGTATTAGCGATTATTTCCCTGAGAAAGTGTCATCCTAGGTGAGCTGCCTTCAGACCACCCCGGATCTGGCCCTTCAGATGGCGCCTTCGGCGCACCCCGCCTGCCCCCGCCGGGTCCCGGCCCAGCGGACCTGCCTGCCGTCCCGCCGGTGCCTCACGAGCGTCACCTCCCCGTAGCTGCCCCTGCCCACAGCCCGCAGGTAGCAGTAGGCGGCCAGGGGCATATTCCCGACGCAGGCTCAGTCGGGATGCGGCGGCCGCAGCGTGTAAGACAACAGGCCGAGGTTGTAGGCCCCGCTCATGCCCGGGAGGCGGCTGCAGCATCCGCTGCACCAGCGGCCCTACTCCGGCTGGGGAGAGGAGGCCCGGCCCACCGCGCCACCGCTGCCATAGCGATCTTATCTGGCGCAGCCGTGCGCATGCTCTGTCTTCCCCAGAGGACTCGCCATCGAGCAGAGACGCCGGCCAGGCTAGAGCGACTCCTCCAGCCTCTACATACGCACCCTTTAGCCTCAGCTCCACCACCAGGTTGGATGTTGTTATTGTTAAGTGCTGTAGAGTCGGCTCTGACTCAAAGCGACCCTGTGTAGAACAGAAGGAAACACCGCCGGCCGGGCGCCATCCTCACAATCTTTGCTATGCTTAAACCCATTGTCGCAGCCACTGTGTTAATCTATCTCACTGAGGCCTTCCTCTTTTTCACTGACCCTCTACTTTACCAAGTATGATATCCTTCTCCGGGGGCTGGTCCCTTCTGACGACAGGACCAAAGTACAAGAGAAAATCTGGCCATTCTCGTCTCTAAGGAGCATTCCAGCTGTACTTCTTCCACTACAGATTTGTTCGTTCTTCCGGCAACCCATAGCATTTTCAGTATTCTTCGTTAAGCCCGCAAGTCAAATGCATCAGTTCTTCTTCCATCTTCCTTGTTCATTGTCCAGCTGTCACTTGCATATGAGGCGATTGAAAACATCACGGCTTGGGTCAGGAGCAACTTAGTCTTCAAAGTGACATCTTTCCTCTTTAACACTATAGTTTAAGAAGTCTTTTTGCAGCAGATTACCCAGTGCAATACGTGATCTGATTTTTTGACCGCTCCTTCCCTGGGCGTTAATTGTGGATCCAAGTTAAATGAAATTCCTGACAAGTTCAATCTGCATAGGCTTGACAACTTCAGGCCAATAAGAGCTCGGACTCTAGAACAGGCACCAGCTGGCTCAGTGCTACTTGCACTTCTACCCAGAGGCTGTTGCCACAGAGGAGGCCAGCCAGTGTGTCATCTGGACCTGGCACCCCTGTCAGCAGGAGGGAGTCCAGGGAGGCAGCACATTCCACCTTCTCAGGAGCCATTTGGAGACCTTGCCTCATTAATACCCAAAATAGTCAGCAGATTTTGTACTATTTAAATGCAAATTGTTAGAAGGAGATAGTTGGTGAGAAGTTGTTGTTATGTGCCGTCGAGTCGCACCCTACTCATACCGACCCCTCCTTAGGTTTCCGAGGTGGTATCACTACAGAAGTAGATTGCCCAACCTTCCTTCTGAGGAGTGGCTGGTGGGCTTGATCCACCAGCCTTCTGGTTAGCAGTCAAGTGCCTTAGGCACGATGCTACCAGAGGTCCTCTAATAGCCTCACAGCTTGCTCACTCCCAAAACCTCCTGCAATTTCTTGGCTCTTCTGCCTCCAAGAAAGAGTCCTAGAAAATAATTCAGATCCCCTAGAGGCTTTTCCAATCTTCATCCATCTCTCCTCTTCTCAGCAGCTTTTGCCCCTCTGAGGCATCTTTTCCTCTCTTGGTTTCTAGGATTTTATTGGTTCTCCTGCTTTCCTGTTCACTTCTGTTTTCCTTTGACTTCTCAAGCTCATTCCAGATTTGAGGTTTCCCAAGGTTCTGTGCTCTGCTGTCTGCTTTTACCACCATGTCCAAACTAGCTCTTCTTCAAATCTATCATTCTCTCTACAGGTATTTACTGAGGGCCTTCAAGGAACCCTGTGAAGGAGACAGAACAGCTCCCCTGTGGGACTTATAGTTGAGGGGAAAGAAGGCCATAATCAATGAAGCACATTAAGTTGTCATCTCCAGCTGAGGTCAATGGTCTACAAGAAGACACTGGACTTGCAGTGATGCTGCCCCAAACAAGCAGGCTCGAGCTGAGGTTTGTAGGAAAATGTTTTCATGCCAAGGTAGCAACATGTGCTAAGTAAAGCCCAATGGACTCTTTTCATGACTAACCCCACGATACAGTGTGAACTCCCTGAGGGCTGGGCAAAGCCCGCCTGCTTCACTCTAAACTCAGCCTTTGTCATAAGGCTGGCACACAGCAGGTGTGAATGAATGAATTGAGAGTTGATAAACTAATGAATAAAACAGCATCTACCTACAGAGATCCAGAAGTCTATAAGTTTGAAGCTGAGAGACTCAGAGGGGCCATGGGCCAGGTGAGAAGGGGGCAGTGGTCAGCAGGGGCCAGATCACTCATGAACTGGGTATGTTTTAGGCAGAGAAGGGCCTGGAGCAGATGGACCTCTTTAAATGATGACTCTGGCTGGGGCCTGGATGGAGCACTGAGGGAACAGAATGGAAGTAAGGGGAGCAGCCATTTAGGCGAGGGACGATGGTGGCTTGGACTCAGTGGTGCCTGGGGATTTGGAGAGAAGTGAATGGATGAGAGAAATATTTAGGTCAGAGGTGGCAATGGATGGTCTAAGAGAGGGAAGCATCCAGGATGCCACCTAGCTTTCTGACTTGGATGCCTGATTGGATGGCAGTGGCCTTCATTAGGCAAAGACACCAGTTGGAAGGTCATGGTCATGGCTTAACTTGAGAGGAAGACTACTCCTGGAGTGGGACAAAGGGAGGGGATAAGAAAGGTCACGGGTTTAGTTTGGCCATGAGATTGAGGGGCTCTGAGCTTTCAGGATGAGAGGTCAGCAGTCAGGTGGCTGTGAGGTCTAGCTCAGAGAAGGGAGTTTTCCATAGATATCAGCAGCACAGCCACCCTCCCAGGCCCCTAGATTCAATCCTCAGCAAGCCCAACTGCTTTCCGTCCACCCCCACCTCCCACAGCCACAGGGTAAGTGAACTTATCCTCTTCTTCCATAACATAGGGACAGTCATAGTATCTAATTTGTGAGTAGATGAATTAAGACACAAAAGATGCTCAGTTTTCTCTGTTCCCCTGACCCCAGTACCTCCCAGTACCTCCAGTATGTATACACACACACACACACACACACATAGGAGCCCTGGTGGCATAGTGCCTAAGGCATTTGACTGCTAACCAGAAGATTGGTGGTTCAAACCCACCAGCTGTGCTGCAGAAGGAAGACTGAGCAATCTACTTCTGTAAAGATTTACCACCTCAGTGGTTGCTATTAGTCAGAATCAACTTGATGGCAGTGAGTTTGGTGTATATATATATATATATATATATATATTGTTGTTGTTGTTTGCCGTCGAGT